CTACAACCCATGTCTAAGCAAAAGCTTGTCGAGGAGCGAGGGGAAGAAGGGAGAAGAGTGTAGTGATCCACATTGATTGTCAGAGTGTTGGTTTCCTCGCCCATCTCTTTTTGGCCGTGGTTGTTCGCGCGCTCTCTGATCTTGATNCACGCGCATGCCTCGCGGCGGATATGCGCAGCAGCAAGAAGGTTTCGGTCATCCCTTGAGGGTGAGTCTAGCCCTGCTCGCCAGAAAGACCCCCCCCTTCACTACAACCCATGTCTAAGCAAAAGCTTGTCGAGGAGCGAGGGGAAGAAGGGAGAAGAGTGTAGTGATCCACATTGATTGTCAGAGTGTTGGTTTCCTCGCCCATCTCTTTTTGGCCGTGGTTGTTCGCGCGCTCTCTGATCTTGATGCTAGTAAGTTTTCAAACCATATCACATGTACGTTTATCCCGACCAAAAAGGCTACGCATAGCAAGCCCAGAAGCGCTTATCCTCACGTCCACGAGCAAAGCCAACTCTACTGCTGACGTGCACCGCAACAACTGTGTTGTACGGGCACCAAAACAACTGCTATATATATACGTGCACCAAATCACCGTGTTTTTATGTTTAAAATTCTCCAAAAACTTCGCGCTTCGCGCGAAATAATATTATTATCTTTTGTTGGACCCCTATGAATGGGAGGTGAGCCAATCTACATCTAGAAGAATGTTCCAAATATTTGCGCTTGCGCTTGGAAGATTCCTGCCAATAATTTGTACATTACCCGCCGATGGGTAAACGTTCCATCCTACAACCGAACAGCGACCAGCGGACCATGGCGCAGGCGGACATAGCATACGAAGGCATATGCCGCACAGCGATGCCGTTTGGCCATACTCATGCTCGGCACACCACAGTCTGGGTGATTGCTGCACGCCATGGTACATGGTTGTATTGCAAGGTCGAACACCGCTGGCACGACGGTTGGCAGGCCCTACCGTGCACAAAAGTTGAATGGGAAAGTTTCTGAAGGGTTCGGGAATGTTCTAGATGTTTCTGGAAGATGCTTCGTTTCAGTTCTTCCACAAAGCGGGTGGGCCGATGACGTCCAGACTTTCGGAATAGCGTTGCATGTTCTCGACTCCGCCACGTGTATTATTCAGCAGGCGGTGTTGATGTACTCAAGAAAAGGGAGAGCAGCAAAGGAGAGAGACGGAGAGAGAGGCGGGAAGGGAAGGCAGGTAGAGCAGAGGCATCAAAGGATGGTGCAACAGGGTAGCGGAACGTTCACTCGGCGCACTGGTGAGTGATGAGAAGCGGACAGTCAGTATATCGTCACCGGTTGCAACGCATCCCGCCGGACTGCTGCTGTGCTGCATTCAGATCGCAAGAGCAGAGGTTTGGCTTCGGTTCCGTTTGCGCAAGAAAGTAGCAGTAGCAGTAGCAGGTAAAAAATAGCAGCAGCCGTGTACCCGCTAAATGTTGCCACGTACGTAGTGTAGAGTGCATACGTTCGGGTGCACGGGCGACTCTACAGGAGAGGAATCATATTGCAATAGACTATGCGAAGGATGTACACAAACGCAAAGCTGGCAACCGCCAGGTTGATTGTGATGCTGCTCTGTGATTACTGCGGCACAGGGTGGCGTTGGGAGTTGGGTTCAGTTCCCTTTTTTCTCAATGTTCTCTAGACTATTAGGAAACATGGACCGCTATAGTTTTGCATTTGTATTTGTATGTTTTCGTGTTTTTCCCACGCATGCTGTTCAGAACCTTTTTTTAAAGTTCTCGATCTTGGAAAGCAAGCCGGACATACATGTGCAGCGTAGAATATAGCTGCTGTGGACGCTGCGAGCGGGGCACCGCCCAGAATAGCGGCATTGCGGGGCATAATAATTGGGAGGATCCCCTGCTTGGGGGCGTGAGGCTTCGTGCTACCCACCATGAGTGCCTCTAAGGCCGTCAGTGAGCTGCTGCAACCGTCTGGTTCTATTCGGTACCTGGTGCAACGTTCCCACCATCTGAGCTCTTCCTGCGCTGCCGTGCATCACCGCGTGTGTCTGGGTGCGCCAAAAAAGTGTGTCGGTGGTTTCAGCATCCACATACAGCAGTAAGCAGAATATATGAAGCGGTACCATGGTACTAGGGTAAAGGCGCCGAGGATAAATTTCAGAGCGGCACCCGTCGGGATTATCGCGATCTACGGTAGGTGTATACGCATAACACCATTCACCACAGAGTAGTCTAGACCATATCTTGTTCCCTTCCTTTTCCGCCCCTGAGGCTGATTACACCCCAGTCATGCAAGAACGAAATGACTCCCGAGGTCGTTCCCTGGAGCAATCGCTCAGCCTCGTCGTTTTTTCAAACTCCGCAAACGTTGAGACCACGCGGCGTGTAGCTCTCATCTAGCATGAGACTAGACTATGTTGTCCATATGCGTACTACATCCAGCAGCTGAACCGCGGCATATCGCAGAAGTTCTTATCTTGCAACACCCCGATTCCCCGCTCGGCTCGTTGTTCGATTGAGTTTCACGTTGCCCGTGGGGTAAGGTTGCAAGGAAACAAACACCCGTAGCCCTGCTTGCGTGGCTTGGACAATGGTTTGCACAGGGAATAGGGAGGGATGTATGCATGCATGCATGCATGCGGTTTTGGGTTGTGTGGCGAAACTGTCTACTTTTTTGTGTCCCGCGTCGCCGGCTGTTTTATTGTGTGACCAACTTCGGCGTCGCGTCTAACGGACAAAATCGCGAAATGTTCGTTGCCTTTAGATCACGTGTTTTTTTGTTTCGCTGCTTTTCACCACTGGCCGAGCGAGATATGTTTCACCACCGGGAACACGTTCAGGAAAAACGTCGGAAAAATCAACTTTTTTTTTTTGTGGAATGTATCAGAGAGCGATAGCGATATAGGCGCGGACCGTTTCATGCGGGCGCCACACGGCACTTCATTGTTTCCAGGCCATGTTTCTGCCCTGCCTGATGCTTCTGGAGCCTAGTAAGTTTGTGTCATGCTCGTGCGCAGTTGTTCGAAATGAATGGGCAGCGGTAATGGCGGGCATGCAGCACTGTTTTTGCCGGATGTGGCGAACGGCTGTTGTTGTATTTCGTTCGTTCATGTTCCACCCGCTTTTTCCCGTGCTATCGAGAACTGTTTTTTGGATGGAAGTTTTGGGCAAAGGCATGGCGGTCGATACTTGATCATTTCGGACATGGCTTCGCGTACCCTACGTGCGGACAGGGCTTTCTGTACCCTACGTGCTAGATTGCCGCTCGACTTTGCGGTCTTTTCACAGCATGGAGTAGACAATACTGTCGCTGCTGCCGCTTCCCGCTTGACAGTTGTATCTCCATGTCAACATCTGCCCGCAACACACTGCTGTCGAACGAAGCAACCTGGCTTCGAGTACAACTTCCTTGTGAAGTTATGGACCGGTTGTTGTGCCGTGAAACCTCGTTATTTCCAGGTATGAATCTTTTGGAAATGGCGTTGGCAACGGTGCTGAAGTGGCTATCCTGTAATCTTGGACACTTCTGGAATCAAACAACGCGGAAAACGCCAAGGATCGCCGGAACGTTCGTGGATACCGCTGTTGTTGCCAGCCGAGACTTTAAGGGCTCAAGAAACAATCGAGATCGGGAAACTGTTTCAAAGAATCTGGGGCCATCAAGCGTTCGGACACGAGCAGTTAGCTCCTGGAGGTACCGTAACAACCTTCATATTTTGTTCGGAGAGAGCATTTCGCAGGTGATGTATTGTCTTCGTCTCATCTGTTCTGGCTCCAGTCTACACACCTTTCGGTGCACATAATTCCGACGTGTCAGTTGGGGTCACACAAGAGGAAGGATACACGGGAGTTCCTCCATTTTTTGTTTTAGTGCCTCAACTTTCTCCCCGCGGTGCTTGTCATAGTTTGGTCGCGACAAGGGGTCAACTATCCCTTTCCCTCGTCTCGACCATGAAGCCGAAGTGTATGATATGATGTGACTGCGCAGGTAGGATCCCGTGCCCCCTCTTGTTTCGCCTATGTAGTACGGAACAACGGCAGTGGAGCAGATTCCCACTGCACGGTAGTAGTTGCGCCAGGGCAGTGCTGGTGTTGTTGGGTCTTGCTCTGTGCAGTCCATGATAAACACGAACGTCACTCTGCGCAATGATGTGGCCGTGTGTGCACAACGCCTAGCGTTCCCCGGCTGATAACACGCGAGCGCCGAAGCTTACACCTAGCACCTAGGTACACCTAGCACCTAGGTACACGGCGGTTGGACTTGTGTTTTCTATTTTCCTGGGGACCGTTATGCCGAATGTGGTCGCAGATTCATGCAGGAGCCGCGGACGCAGCATGGCACAGCAGTAGTAACATCAGGCACTTTTTTCCGTTGACCCTCGGGTTTTTTGGCGGCACTTGCTTCGATTGCCTGTGTACCACACCTCGCCGTAGATGGTTGTTCTATAGAGCTCCCCATATATTCCCGATGGACGCAAGGGTATGCCTGCCGTCTGTTTTGAGCGTGGTCCGATACGCTTAGTTGCGAGAGACATCTGTTTTCGGAAACTTTAACCGGGGGGTCGTCTCACGCTTCCGTCCTCGTTTTACTTCAGCCCTCCGTCCCCTCCGCTTGTTGCGTGTGCCGACTCCCTCTCTCAGTTATCGCGTCATGCTGCTGGTAGCAATCGCAGCCATCAAGCTGGGCTTAGCGGAAGGCACACGTGAGTGACGAGGCTCGCGTTGGTATTTTACTTGCTGGGAAGAAGCCGCATCATTCGAAATAGCGCACGTACCTACTGCTTTTCGTTTTATCATTGACTTGGTGTTTGACCTGAATGGCAAGCTAGCCAGCGACCACGGGAATCGACCGCGCAAACTGATAAATCAGTACGGAAAATGGAGGTAGAAACTGGGCAGAGAGGTCGGAATGGCTGTTCACGTGAAGACCATAACAACGTTTTCGCGCTATCTACGTGGGCCATGACATGTTATGAACGGTTCCTCCTCACCCACCGCGTTGCTGCTGCTGCTGCTGCTGCTATTGTTGTTCCGTGCGGTGCAGTGCTGTTTGACTTGCCATCGGGTTTGAAGTGCGCGTGGTACAGCCTGTCGCACCCTGCCCAGTACGCGGTATTGATCATGGTGAGTGCGCTCTGACTTTCCCTTCATGCCGCCGCGGAGCGTCGAATTCCACGGTGCACCGCTGTAGGAACGCCCCGCATACAAGATACTGCCGCTGGAGTGCCGAAATACATGCGAAGTTTTTCTTGTCCTGAGAGAGAAGAGTTCTTTGCCGACGCCACCCCGGCCCTCCCCACCTCGCTTGGATGCGTGCACCTTCGGCTCCGGTTTTTCGCAGACGCTGGGATGCCTGTACGGGGTGAACCGGCTTTTCGACAAGCTTGATAGTGCTATGAATGCTCGACTCTCCTGCGCGACGCGCAACTGGATGCAACAGAGGAGGGAGGCGATTGGGATGTAGGGAAAACCGAATCCAGGCTTAAGCGACCACGTATGAGCATATAGATAAGGAAGTGGTACACGCTGGCTCTGGAGGAGGATCTGGAAGTGCGGGATTCGGTTGTTTTCCGTCAATGCTGGAGGAGGATCTGGAGGTGCGGGGTTCGGTTGTTTTCGTCAATGCTGGAGGAGGATCTGGAAGTGCGGGATTCGGTTGTTTTCCGTCAATGCTGGAGGAGGATCTGGAGGTGCGGGGTTCGGTTGTTTTCGTCAATGCTGGAGGAGGATCTGGAAGTGCGGGATTCGGTTGTTTTCCGTCAATGCTGGAGGAGGATCTGGAGGTGCGGGGTTCGGTTGTTTTCGTCAATGCTGGAGGAGGATCTGGAAGTGCGGGATTCGGTTGTTTTCCGTCAATGCTGCGGATCGCAAGAGTTGCATATCGTTCGTCACAAGACCGACTTGGAGACTGGGCGCGGAGAAGCTTGGGTGGAACGCATTTGGGCCTATTTTGCTATGGGCGCGTTCCCGGCATCCAACCAAATTTGAATTCCCACTTGGTTGTTGGCGCTCGAGGGATGCTTTGCCAGTCTCAGGCAGAGTCCTACGGTTCATTTGGGTGGAGCAGATGGAGGTGGGGATCAGTCGTTTTCCTTCAATATTGGGATCGCAAGAGTTGCGCATCGTTAGTCAGCAAACCGAGTTGGAGATTGGGTACGGAACAGCTTGGGTATGACGCAATTGGATTTTTCCTTGAGACGGGCACGTGTCCGGGAAAAGAGCTCAAAACGTTGCCACTGCGCTGTTGGCGCTCGAGGGGTGCTTTGCTCGTCTCAGGCAGTCTGTTTAAGGTTAATGTTGGTTCATGAATATAGTCAGGGATCTGTCGTTTTTCTTCAACGTTGCGGATCGTCCGTGTTGCTTCTCCGTTGTACGCAATCAGAGTTGGCCAGCGGAGCAGGTTGAGTGTGACGCAATCGATCTACCTTGAGATGGGCGCGTTCCCGGCAAACGACCCCCAAAAACGAATTTCTACTTGCCTATTGGACCTCGATGGGTGCTGTCGCCAGTCCCAGGCTGTTTCTTACGGTGCATTTAGTTGAAGGATTGTAAGGAGTTGGGTATGAAAGAGATGTGCTTGTAGTTTGTTGTTTATGTGTCTATCCGAGCGGCAGCCTTTACGGCTAAGAGAAGTCAGGACAAATCAATCGCTGCTGCGTGTTTTGCCCCAGCTTTGTGGGACTCATGCATGGCCCAACACTGAACAATACGTCATTCCTTCAACATAGTTAGCTTCAGGTAGGAAGTAACTCCCGTGACCTCGCGTTAACTGGTTCTCGCCAGGGTAAGCCTTGTGCCTCCCTCCAACACGCGCTTTCGAGCGCGCTTTCCACAGAGGACACTCTCGTGGAGCAAGAACTCAAATCATTTTCAAACCATGCACCGAAAATCAAGAAAACGCCTTTCGTCTTCACTTCTATGAATAGGGCGGTTGCCTTCTCTGCGGCACGCCTGTGAACGAGTGTATCGCCTCAAACCTCTGGCCGCTATGCTGTGGCGATAGCACTGGCTGGCCTATACATTGCCACGCCTTTGGACAAACCACGCCTGAAGCGACCCGAGAGGCAACCTGGCTGCAGGACACGCTTTTCCTTTTTCCCGAAACCTCCTTCAGTCGACGTTTGCGTACTAACATTTTCAGTGCTTCCCCATTGGGACATTCCACGTGTGTTTCCAATGAGCGCCCTATTGGCCGAGTAACCCTGGCGGCATGGGGTCACCTGTTGGGACGCCCATGTCATGCGTGGCGAAGAACATGAGATCGCGCGGGACGCCCTATGCGCCCGACCCCCGGGGATATCCCATGGGGCCGTCCCAAGCGTCTCACCGGCGGCCCCGCATGGGACGGGCATGACCACCACCTGACCCAGCCTGCGGGTAAGCGCGGGACGCCTTAGAGGACGTCTTTGTGACGCGTGACCCGAACCCCAACCCTCCCAACCCTAGGGCTGAGCAACACTGGTAGCCCCTAGCCCCCTGCCCATGTTCCCTGCGTGGGGCAGTGGGGATCGTGCTAGGGACGCCCCGCGCGTGCCATGGCAAGTTCCAATGATGGTCAGGACCAGATGTGGCTCAGATCATTCCTCTATTCGCATCAGAAACCAAAGTCTAGTATATCTCGGACATACATTCGAAAACATCGGCCCAGTGGTGTTGCAACGGTCCAACTGCAGGCGCGCTGTGAGTTCGAATCGCGCCACACCCGTGCATGTTACTTTCGCTGAAACATATAACAAGCCGTTTTTCGACGCGAAAAGCGCGAACAGCGCGAAAAGCGCAAAAAGCGCGAAAACCACACAGGTCTAGACTAAAGGTATTGTCCACATCGCACCTAAATTTCCTATATCAACCATAACAAATAACATATGCATGGGTACATCTACTCGCGCTATTTCCATATGTTCCCTCTAGTCTAAAATGTGCTTCTAATGGAAGTTTGCGCCCCCCAAAACAAAACAAGAGAACGAAACGATATATGCTGTTAGATGGGGACTTACAAATCAACACCTTGGCGCATTCATTCGCTCGGACCCCAAATCGCCGATCTCACCAACACGTCCCGTTCCCACATGTCGATAAATACCAAAATACCGAACGAGTGTAACGACAATCGCTACGATGACGACAACCCCAAGCGCGTGCCTTGCATTACCACCAAAGCGTTCACGCGCGCCACAAACGGTAAGCAGACCCTAATCCCATTGCAAAAATCGACGAGGGTGAGCATCTTTCTATCTGCTCGAGCGAACGCATCCTACAGATGAGCACAATATGACATGTATTCTGACGCCAAGCAAAACTACCGTGAGGGGACGGGTGCCCTGATCACTCGATGGTTGGTACTTCACTCAGAATCCAGAATATATTCACGAATATAGTGCCACACCAGACCGAATTACCTCAGGGGGGAAATTGCACATCCTTCTAGCAAGCCCAAAAACTTGCTACAACACGAGCGCCTGCACTGGCTGTGTTGGCAACTTCATCTTCAAAACACGCGTTTGGATCAAGGAATAAAAGAACGTTACGACACCGGAAAATGATGAAACTACTGTGAACACGTAGTCTCGACTAGCTTCATTTATGTATGTTGTAGTCGAATATATTGTTGTCTAAACTATACGTACGTGTAGTTTGCATGTGTGTTTCGACCTCCCGTTGATACCCTGAAACGGATCGGGCATGGCGTAAAATGGACACCCGAGACACCCCCGAAAGCTCTCCCTTGGAGCCGCAATTAATAACACACCCGCCACAAACCCTCTATGCACGCAGTTGCTACATTGATGTGTTGTCGATATGCTGCGCCAATACGCACCCTTGACCATCGTGCACGTTCAAGCCCATCCCGTGGATGATGGCCGCTCATCCCCAACACAGCAGTGCACATCTGGCATCGAAGGACAACTCTTGGAGCCCCTTCCCAGAGCTAGCACCCAGCTTCCGTTGACATCATGTGCGTCGGACAACATGCAGGGCGCCCCGACCTCCTCTTTACCTTCCAAGCGGTGGTGATGTAGGGGCAGTGGCGCGCGTGGATTCCCCTTGTTAGCGCAAGCGACCAGCTTCCGTTGACACAATGTGCCTTCGACATATTCGGGACGCCCGCCTTCTCTCGCGTCCATGTAAGCGGCGGTGGTGTAGGGGCAGAGGTAATTGTGCGAAGCCTTTTCGAGCGTGTCAAAGAGCCGATTTACCCCGTACAGGAGCGCCGGCATCTGTGGGGCACGGGCGGAGCGCAAGGCCTGCTGGCTTCAAAAACGGCTTGATTCTTCTTGACACGCAGTTTGATCACGTTCGATCATGCGCCAAGACCAGTCCTTTCGCCGCTTGGTCATTTATCAAGTACCCGCCGAGGCAAGAACAAGCACGGAAGAAACCGATCTCGCAAATAACAACAACGAAGTGTTGTTCTCAACGCAAACAGAGCTCCAATACAAAGTATGGCGAAGAGCATGGAGACAGCTCAGAGCGTACTCACCAGAATCAACACCGCGAACTGGACAGGGTGCGGCAGCCCGTACCACGTGCACTTGAACCCGGAAGGAAAATCAAGGAGACCTGGAAAGGCTCACAATGAACACAGCAAAATATGCCGCCAACAGCAATAACGCCGTCCGTGGGGTGGAGTGGTAACATTCATCCATGTACGGCGGCCCCAATTCGAGACAAAAGACACCCACCAGGGCCCTGTGCTCGCCGTAGAAGGCGTGCTACTCGTGGTACGATGTGCCCCAACTGTTATCGTCACGGTTACGCCACACTCACTCTTGCTTTCCAGTAGGACCATCTTCAGCGCTGAAGTCGCGAACACCAGGGCGAAACAACTGTGGTGGGATACGACAGACGACGAGCAGGTTCCGAGAGACCTCACGTAAAAAAAACTACAACAACACCGCATAGATGGCTGTGGGCATCAACTTACTACGTGGAGCAGGCGTCTTCGGCTGGACGACGCCCTGGAGACAGGAACCGAACGCAGTCGGCAGACGTATATCGGATAGAGGTGTTCGACCAGCTTCAGGGTGGCGTGCTGGCCCGTCTTCATACACAACAACGGCGGCCATTATTCGCTATGCATGCCAAAGCGCTCAAATACCATTCATTGCCCCCAGTTGTAACAGTGATGTCGTCAAAGAAGGACCGCGCTGCCTGACACGCCCAGCAGCAGCTTTACCGCGAGCCGTTCACCCTGAAGAAGGTCCCCGACACAAGAGGCAACTGAAAAGTTGCGACGACCAGAGTCGATGAAGACTACTACTGCTGTGTTGGAAGTAGTGAAATTGGTCCCCAGATACATTCGATCCTAGTCGTAACGGACTGTGCGTCGGAACTACTGCAGTGAAAGCCGTTCTCAAAGATAGATGTGACAGCTAACGGGTCGATCGCATGCACTAGAGTCTTTCTCCCGTGTACCTTCGTAGGACATTCATCCTCGGGCTTCGTAGATCTTGCAAGTTCACACGGTCGCTCTAGGTATACCTACGTAGAATCTCGAACTACAGCCACATCGAAGGCGGAAAGACGTGCTAACAACAGGACAGCAGTGGCGGCATCGATAATTTTGACTACATTACCCAAACCAGCGTGCCTGGGCTCTCAATCGACGTGGCGTCTTCCGGTACGCGGCTAGTGTTCAGGGCGAGTTTCCATGGCCACAGGTGAATTGGTATCTGCACACGTCGCATTCTAACAGACAATCAGCAAGCAATATTAACAAGAACGAGTCTTCGTCGGGAGTAATGGGATATCCCAGCCCGATCTTGCGAGGTCTAGATACTGGTGTGGCACAAGCACCCACCTTTCAGTGTTTTGAAAACCGCTTCGGGGCTGTAAGATAAACTCGTAGCATAGTAATGTGGTTTAATATGGGACATGGATCTACGGAGATTGCAGTTGGGAGATCGCGGAGGAACAGGGAGTTTCTGCTTGGTTTCTTCGGAGATTTGATGAGTGATCTGAATTGCGTGACGGATAGGTGTGGTGACGCACTCTTCGGCTGCTCGGCCTCGAGTGGTCTCCGCCCTTCCCTCTTTCCTCTAATACAAGACTTTCCCATCTCGGCCCTCACTGGCCGAACTGCCTTTCTCCACAAACCTACAAGCTTCGGCCTACCCGGTTTATCCAACA